GAGATTTCATGATCGGTTTTACTGAAACATCGAGGGAACATGAATTTATGGGCTTCCTGTAGTTTCACCTTGTAGGTATCATTGTCCTATAGTTCCAGCTACCCGTAATGAATGTAAAGTTACACTGTTCACAAAGGTTTTCTTATTTCCACTGCTGTTTGTCAATGGTCACGTTCCCCAAAATACTATATTTTTTCTATAAAAAGGGAAAAAAATGGAAAAAAATACAAGGCAATGGATAATATTAAAAGGCCACTTACTTTCCACATTAGGTAAATTCCTATCATACTCTGAATAGCTTTTTGTTAAGGCAGACCCAGTAGGTAATGAGGATTAGAACAAGCATTTTGGGACTATATTTACATGCTTAAAATTTTTGTAATAATTGAAAAAATTTTAACATGTATAAAGAATTCTCATAGGAATTAAATATAGTCTCCCTGTGTCAGATTGCTCTTTCTTAGCATAAATCTTTTTCTTGAACTTCAGCCTTTGAAAGTAGTTTTAGTTCTACTGGTAGTGATGTAAAAGATTAACTGGGCCAGTTAGCTTGGTAGGTGTTACGGAGAGCAGGGTGGCAAAGCCAGGCCTTGTGTGAACCTTTAAGCTACATGGAGAGTTTCACAGTGTGGACTGCATCCCTGTGGTCTTCCATTGTTGTCATGCCTTGGTTTGTCAAAAACAGGGACTTGCAGAGAGACTGAATAGCTCAGCAAGGTACATTCTCATTATGTCATAGTCCTACTCAGGAACATCACTTTTTTAAAACAAAAAATCCAAAAAAACAGAACTTAAAAAAAAACAAACATTGTTTTAAATGAGATTTTAGGTGGGGTGGCAAGATTTTAATTTTTTTTAAACGATGAAATGAAAAAATTTCAAAATCTTGAGTATTGGCTGGTTCTCTTAATGCTGGCTAAAGTAACATTTCGTAAACACTTCAGTACAGTCTGGTCCATTATTAAGAATATCTAATGCTTATACAATAGATAAAGTAATGCTAACAAAATGATTCTTTGAATGCATTTAAAATGTTAACTTATTTTAAAGTATTTGAACTGAGATAGTGTGTTGAGGTGAAAGTATCACTGGACAAGGAGGAAGGTGACTTAGATTCTAAGTTATATGTCTTTGATTTTGGACAAATCACTTACTAGCCATTTCTTCATTTCTAAAGAAGTCATCTCAAAGGCTGTATCTAGCTTTATAACTATGTGATTTACATTCAGTTTACATAAGGATATACCTATTTGTCAGTCTCAGCACCATCTGTAACTTTTTACCTGTGTTATCATCTTCAGTGCCAGTCTTAGGCAAAATTGTGCAAGAGGTGAAGTTTATTTTTAAATATCGTTCTCTGCTTCCAGGACTTCTCCCATATTAGTGTTGTCTTGCCTGCCTACCTTACCCTTCTCTATGTCCCATGACTTGATGTTTTTTCTTTTAATATTTCTCATTACTCTGATCTCAAGATTTATTGCTGCTTTGGATATCTCCATGATGGCCTCCCATCAAATCATATCAAAATGTCCTATATCATAAAATTCCTCAGGCTCAACATAATCTGACAGATACTATAATGGGATTTGACCTAATAGCTAATTTTCAGGTTGTGGCTGTAACAATTTAATTTTGATCCTCTGAACATCATCTCTTTGCTGCCTGGTCCATCAGTGACAAAGTAGGAGTTTCACACCTGCTATGAATAGTTAGAACCCTATCCCGTGGCAGGAGAATTTAATAAAAGTAGTGCTGAGAGAATTCCTTATGTAATTTACTAGGACTAGCCCTGCTAATAGTAATACATTCCGTTGTTTTAAAAGCTAAAATCTTACCATGAAAGATACTTTAAAATTTAATTCATGTCTTACTCTTTAGCAGAAGTTGTTTATTCAGCAAATGTTTGAGTGCCTACTAGATGCCAGGCACTCCCCAAGGCGCTGGGGATATTAGAGTACCCAAACATGGGACATAAGGCCTGTCCTTAAGTAGTGTTTATTTCTAGAGGGTCTGTATCTCAGAGAGGCATCTGTCATGTGACCCAGATACACCATAACGCATGCTGTAATCCTGCAAAAAAATGATCTGGTCTCTGAGCATAGTTTCTTCCAGTTCTAAAATAACTGTTTTGCTCTTATTCCAGTATAGCTGTTTAGTCAAGCTCTTTTTTAATTAAATCAGTTTACTTCAATGTTTTAGAGGAGTAAATCTGATTTTTTTTTAAATTTGGCATAATTATGTGATTCTGTTGAGACAGTTATAGTACAAATTAAGTTGTATGTCAGATAATGTTAAAATCCCCCTGCGTGTAGTATGGTCTTTTTGTATAAGTAATTATAATAGATGTTAAAAATTAAATATTGAATTCTAAAACAGTTGTTTCTTCTGGGTAAAAATAAACAGATGCCTGAGCTAATTCCCAGAAAAGGAAACTTCTATGTAAAAATCAATATGGTTTCTGAGATGCTATATTAAACTACAGGCTTTTGGAACATTACGTAGGGAGTTAAGACTTGTTTTAGTACCTCCTCTTGTTTCTAAACAAGAGAAAGAAATGGCCATACTTCAGGAATTGCAGTGTATAACTGAGGTGATTTTTAGGACTCTTGAATTTTTGATGTAGCTGGGCAACTTTTTTATGGCAGTGGTAATTATCCTTTATTATGTGAATTTTGAATGGTTTAATAAAATGTTTGTTTTTGTAGAGATTTTAAAAGGGGAGAGATAATCCTAGAAATAACATAAATGTTATCTAATTACAGCCTTAAAGATAAAAATCCTTGTTGAAGTTGAAAAAAATTGCTAAATTACATAGTTTTAGACATTAACGTTTGTGGAAGAATGTAGCAGAAGTATGTAGTAAAATTTGAGTGAGTATCTCCACTTAGGAATTCTAGGCTCTATTTTAACTGAGTCACACTGCATAGGAATTAGAACCTAACTTTTATCGGTTATCAAAATCTTGGCCACCATTGCACAATTTTGTCCTAAAATATATGGAAACTTTGTGAGGCATGTTAAGTTGCAGTTTGCACAAGTTCATCTCATTTGTATTCCAGTGATTTTTTTTTTTCTAACCATCTTTCCTAAACATATACACGTTTAGGTTTCTTTGTAGGCAGTAAAAACTACCTGCCCTTTCCATCTGTCAAAAAGTAATAATTTATTGATTATTTTGTATTAATGATTTTTAACAACCCATTAGTAACTTTAAATCTGAATTTATATTTAATAACTTTGTTGTTGATATTGGGTAGCATGAAATCTGCATTGAGAAATTCAACAGCATATAACTGGTAGCTGTAAATTCCTTCAGAAATGAAATTTCTTTCTTTCTAGAGATATATTCACATCAGTTCCTAAAGATGAGTCATAACTAGTAATACTTGTTTTAATAGTTTTAAGTGCCTGTTTGGGATGATAATAGGCAATTTTAGATGAATTTATGAAAAAAAAAGTTATTACCTGCAGAAATGTCAATTATAGACGGTCCCCTTCCCTATAGAGCTAAATGGGTTATGTAATGTTTTATTCAGAAGTTTCCAATTCCACTGTCTTGTGTTTTCATGTTGAAAATACTTTTGCAGTTTTCCTTTGAGTGCCAATTTCTTACTAGTACTATTTCTTAATGTAACATGTTTACCTGGAATGTATTTTAACTATTTTTGTATAGTGTAAACTGAACATGCACATTTTGTACATTGTGCTTTCTTTTTGTGGGACATATGCAGTGTGATCCAGTTGTTTTCCATCGTTTGGTTGCGCTGACCTAGGAATGTTGGTCATATCAAACATTAAATTTAAAAATGACCACTCTTTTAATTAAAATTAACTTTTAAATGTTTATAGGAGTATGTGCTGTGAAGTGATCTGAAATTTGTAATATTTTTGTCATGAACTGTACTGCTCCTAATTATTGTAATGTAATAAAAATAGTTATGGTGACTATCATAGTTTGTACTTTTTTTTTTCGGCTGTGCTGCACGACTTGTAGGATCTTAGTTCCCTGACTGTGACCTGGGTCCACAGCAATGAAAGTGCCAGCTCCTAACCACTGGATTGCCAGGGAAATTTGAAACATTAGCCCCACAAATGATACAGGATAGTTTATAAGCAACAGACGCTATAGTATATTAGTAAATCTTTTCTTCATCTTATAAGCTAGATGTTTTTTATTTGTGAAAGGTGCTGTGAACACTGTGTAAAGGTTTAAGTGTTTGCTTAAAACCATGTTATGTTTAGGTCCTATGTCATATTAACTCATTTAGAATTGGATGCAAACCAAATCTGCCTTTATGACAAAAGAATAGAATAACATAAATCATTACATTTTATTGAAGAAGGTAATTGATATACAACAGGTGATTTAAGGCCCAAAGGCATCCAATTGCAAAATTAATACTGGAAATAATTAAATAGGTATATTATGTAATGCCAGTCACTGATAGGCTGTTTCAAGTTCTTAACTCTATACATATTATTTCTACTAACTGCACTTAAATCATTACCAGATGCCACTTCTTTTGCAGTGAACATTGGATATGTGCTGTTAACATCTCAAATGGGGTAAAAAATGAGCTCCTTTAAAAGTTAAGGAAATAAACTTGCAAGAAATCATTCTGCTTAAGTGTACATTAAACAGCATTCTCTTTTCAGTAAAATGCAGAAATGGGCTAAGAATAATTGGCGAATTTTTCAATAAAACTTAAGTACATTATATTTTCATTCAAAATTGGGTGCTCATCAATTTTTAATAAGTAGTTGGGAACATTATATACCTAAATTACTATAAAATTGACATTTAACATTAGTTAATTGTTATATAAAAATTGAGCATAAAGGTTGCTGATAAAGCAATAGAAGTTGAAACTTGTTTTAGTTCAGTAAGGCGGCTCAGGTATTTTTAACACAATATATATCTTGACACTTTAAAGTTATTTTTGTCATAGCTGGTACATAAACAGCTGGCACTGATCTCAGTCAAATTACAGTAATGCTGATCATTGAGTTTTGTTGGTATCTGAATAATAGCGTTGTTTCATAGCTCTATATTTCCTAAGGAAGTATAATGCTTCTAGTTCTTTCATTACAAATTTGCCCCGTTCAATAAGTTCTTTGATCTTCTCTGGGTCCTTCACATCTTTGTTTTTAAGGAAAACATTCTTCAGACGCCTTTTGAAATAGTCTGCTCCCTTTGGATAGTCTCGTCCAAGATACAGCAGCTTAAAAAAGAAAGATTATATATTTCTAAACAATCTGTCATATAAAATTTATAAAACTGGCAACGTACTTACTTACATTCTTATAAAGATTCAGTACTTCTCCTCTTAAAGAACTGGCCATTTTCATTTATCATGGAAAATATCCACTTTTATATTGTAATATACCTAAAGAAAAAGAAAAGTTTTTACAAATAACGGCATTGTAGTCTTAAAAAAGGTTTTACACACTGGTAAACTGGTACTCCCCCCCCTTTTTTTTGCCGTTCGGTAAAAGCTGATTGTGCACTTTTATGTTCCAGGCAGTGAGATGCAGCTGTGAACATGTCAGGTAAGATAGCTGCTATCACAGCATTAGCATCTCCTGAGGGACATAAAAGATCATTATGAATTGTGGTAAGTTCTATGAAGGAAACAGAACAATTAGAGAAAGCCGATTGTCAGAGACAGATAAGCAGGTGGACCTCCTTTTATAGAGTGGAATGAATTAGAACTAGATTTGGAATCCCAGCTGCACAGTGGTGTACAGGTTACTTAATCTTTCTGAGCCTCTTTTCTTGTCAGAGCGAGACTGTCTACCCTGCTCTCAAGGCAAGGCTTGAACTGTTTGCAGGAATTGGGAAGAGGCCTGATCAAGTCAAGGGTGCCCTCCTAAGAAAGGCTAAAGGGGAGGACAGACAGGTGTGACAGTCAAGCAGGCTCACCCCTAATGGCAAATGGGCGATCAGATCAGTGATGAAGAGACGACGTGAACAACCCATGACGGCGCTGCGTGAGAGCGGGCAACGTCAGTGGGATGGGTGAGCTGACTCTACGTGGACTTTGTGCTGCTCCTTAAAGGCACCATCACAGCCTAAACATAGGAGATAATCCCCAATACCTGTGATGGTTGTGGGGGTTAACTCCTGAAATTCCTGCATTATAAACATTTAGTTTGTGATAGGCCCCAAATGAATGTCAATGCCATTTATAACCTTAAAATTTCATAATGCCCATTTGCCCATTAATCTAAAACATACCTTTTTATATCCCTCATTAACATAATTTTCATTTTAAAATAATTTCATTCAATCAGAAAAGCTGCAACTCAGTACTAATAACTTCTTTTTTCCCTGAATTATTTGAGGGTAAGTTGCTAACATGATACCAAATCAGCCTGAATACTTTGCAGTGCCATCCAAAAGAAATACAGTGCAAGCCACCCATGTAATTTTACTTTGATAGTCCTTATTAAAAATAAAACAGCTGAAATAATTTTGATAATGTAACATTTTTATCCAAAATATTTTAAGAAGTGTTATGCCAGACATGTTTATAAGTACCAATGGCTTAGTTGCTACCATACTGGACAACAGTTTGAGGTACTTTCTATGAACAAGGATGTTTTCTTACAGCACAAAACCACCATCAGAATCAGGAAATTAACAAGCACTGCTATATTACTACTATACTATACTACTACTATATTACTACTCAGGGTTGAATCCACAACCCTGAGTTTTGCCCTTTATAGCAAAAGAATCCAATCTACACTGATGACACATTGCAACTAATTTCCATGTCTCTAGCCTTCAATCTGAAAAAAATTCCTTTGAATTTCCTTGATTTTCATAAACTTGACACCTGTGAAGATCACAGGCCATTAATTTTGTAGAAATATGTCTTGTTTTGAAGTTAATTTATGGCTAGATTCAGCTTACATAGTTTGGGCAGAAACATTAGACATGCTTTATTTCATTGCAGTCTATTATATGGACACAATTCCAGTCTGTTCCATTATGGCTGAGGTAAGTTTGATCACTTGGTTAAGGTGGTGTTTGTTAGGACTCTCCACAGTTACTTTTTTTCCTTTGAAGTTAGCATTTTGTGGGAGGTACTGTGAAACATAAATATATGTCATCCAGAAAAACCTTTCATCTTGCAAAAAAAGCAACAGAGATTATGGGGGGAAAAGAGGTTTGAGGCATACCACTCAAATCCTCTGCAGTTGTAAACAGAGCACCAATTAAAAAAAACATAAATTGGTACCTGGAGAGCTGATCTGAGCCACTCAGATTGCTCTCAGCATTGCTGGAGGATACCACAGAGATAGATGAAGTTTATGAATAGGAGTAGAGGGCTGGAGACCAGGAAGGGATCACAGGAGACAGGAGGAAATCCCTGGGGATGATGGTTTTATCATCATGATTGTAGTGAGGTTTCATAGGTGTAGGCATGAGTCAAATTTATCAAATTGTATTTATACTTAAAAAGTGTAGCATTTGTATGTCAATTATACGTTAGTAAAACTGTTTAAAAGTAGTGTAGACGTGCTGGCATAATGCTAAGAGTAGGGCTGGGAGATACTGAAGTGCATGTGGAAGTAGACATTAAACCACAAGGCTGGTCAGTAGGGGATTCAACCTGTAACCAGGTCAACAGTTGCATACTTCTCTGGGGAGGAAGCCCTAGGGGTAAGCACTTAATTTTTTTTTTTAGAAATACACTCGAAAGGCTTCTGCTGCCAGCAACTAAGTGAAGACCTTTTCTTGCTGAAGTTTATGATCTGCTTCTGTGGCTTTTCTTTCTTAAGGAAAAATATATATAGGAGCCAACACTGTTTACATGTTAATAATTGTCTGCATCCCCTATTAACTAGTGATTTATGAGTTCACAGTGACAAGTATACAATGTATCAGAACATCTGAGTTCATTAATATTAACTCTTGTTTTCCTCCAAAGTGCTATTTTTCTGCTTTTGTCTGTTATCACTTGAGCTTTCCTGCATAAATGGTAGTCCTTTTCCAAAACAAAACAAAAACAAAAAAACAAACCCTTTAGAAGATCTGCTTAGAGGTTGCAGCTTAGAGACTTTGGGGCTTCACTGAGGGTGATCTAATTGGGCCCCTTACTGGGGAACCTCTGATGTTATCTTAGTCTGTTCCTCCTGGGCTGGTCAGATTCCCCAGATAAGAGTCTTCCAATCTAATGAGGATACTACATCAAGAAGTGGAAAACGACACAGGGCCTTGCATTCAGCATCATGTATACTCAAATGCACCTAACCTGCTCCCAGCCTGAGGACACCCCCACACCATAGATTATTGATTCTGTCCAGAAATAAACCTCTAGTCTTCTGAGAGAGAGGCATGCAGAGATTTAGAGTTGTTTCTCAAACAGCTTTCACTTCATCCTCTCTGATTTACTTCATTCTTCATTTCCAGCTCCAACGGCCCTGTTCCAAGGCCTTTTTGAGAATTATGCAGTATAAATTGGGCTTTTCAAGTGTGCTAGGTGACAGTCATCTGTCTTGCAGCTTCCAAAGCTTTACTGTTGTCATCTCCTCTATTATTCTAATTTATTTTTAAAATCGCTTACTGAAGATTTAGTGCTTTCAGGAGTGAAATTAGATGGGTCTATTTATCCCGGTACAGCAACACCTAATTCCATTTTTAAAACATTTTTTCTGAGAGCCACTTTTTGTGTGTTTTAATCTTACTGAAAATGACACTTAAGGAAGAACCTTGTGCTTTTAAAACAATTGTAAATTAAATCTACATTAGATGTAACTTCAAATCAGAAATTACAGCCTGTTTAATTCCTGGCAAACAGCATAGCTCTATTTAATTCACATTTTGTAAAAGTTTTTAGAAATGTGGCTTAAATCGTCTTTGTTTTGTTTTTTAAACAAATTATGCATAAAAAAGGACCTGCCCAGCAAAAAAGTAGCTGCTGTGACCAAGATAAATTTGTCCCATTCCTTGATATATTAACTTTCATGAGTTAAGGAAATGTTTTATTTACTGCATACTGACCTTCAGGCATTTTAAGTTTACTTTAGCCTTTAGGAGAAACAGGTTTCCTTGGGTGAACTGGTGAACAGTTTAAATGCAGCAGGGACCTGGGGCTGCTCCTTAACCCTGCATAAAGTCATGGAAGTTACTGTTTTTATAAAGAGCCAAATGAGAGTTAGGGAGTGTGAGAAGTTCCCTATCATTCTAAGAAACCTGGATAGGGGTGGGCATACAATCCACATTGATAGCTCTTTCCCAATGACTTGTGGGCCAAGACTTAACCAACTCCAGTCATGGGTTAAGCAAGAAGGCAATGGTAACCAACTCCAGTATTCTCATCTGGGAAATCCCAGGGACAAAGGAGCCTGGGGCCTACAGTCCATGGGGTTACGAAAGAGTAAGACATGACTTAGTGACTAAACAGCAACATCATGGTGCCCAAAGCTGTTACTGATCACTCTTCCCCATGAAGTTCAGATTTGACTCAAACAGATGGAGCACATTTCCCCAAAGTAGTTAAGCCTAAAAAGCTTCACACTAAAATTTATCCCAACACACTTGCCAGCATCAAAGGATATGTAATCTGAGAGGCAGGTGGCAAGAGGTTTTGCCCCCAAAGCTGGTATTCTGCTTGGTCGAGGCCTACCTAGAAGATTATAAAAGTGAGTTGAAAGAAGATGGTCATGTATGTTCAGAGGGGCTAGGAACTGCACCTGTCTGGAGGTAAAAGTGAACAGAGGAAATGGGCCTTCTTATTCTTGCAGGTTGTAAGACTAGTAGAGAACTAAATAAGCCCACTGGTATAATCTCATAGCAGAGCAGTCCCCTAGAACACAGTCCAGCATGTTCTAACACATCCATAGCAAATCCTCCTCCCTGGGGGGAATTTGGTGGAAGGAGAACTTGAGTAAGTCTCTCTCCTGAAATCCCACAATATCAAAATTATTTGTGATTACCATTCACACTTCCTTATTCCCATCAGAGCTGACTGAAGTTCTGTAATCATAAACATTAGCAGTTTGACTGAAAAACTTAAAAGCTTAGTTCCATACCAGCTTTGGAACTCTATATCAAAGTCGACATTAAGACGTTTTTAATCTTGCTACCAGGGATGTGAAGGTGAAATGTCATAGGTATGACACAATCTGGATTTCTGTGGGGAGAATGACACTTTAACCTACAAAGACTAGCTGAGTCAGAAATACTTATTTAATAATACCTTTAGTCAATGAAATCGCAAGAGAGAGCGCATTATAAAATTACAATCAGAGATGAGAAATGGTGGCAAGAATTTTAAAGCATTTCATGTCTTGTCAGGCTAAAATGGGGTTTAAGCCTAAACGGGGTTTAG